GGGACAGGCCTTGCGACAGGCGCTTTACACACATCCAGTCACAACAAACCTTACGGAGTAGCTATTAGTGTTCTCACTTTACAAATGGGAAAACAAAGTCTAGGAGCGGTTAAGCAACGTGCCCAGGGTTACACAGCTGGTGTGACAAAGTCTGTGTTCACAGAACCTCAGAGGATACAGGAGAAATGAGAAATCCACTTCAGATGAGGAATGACAAGGACAGCCAGAGAGGTTGAGCAACCTGCACAAGGACATAGTGGCAGACTCGGGGACAGAATTCATATCTTCAACTCTTAGATCAGTTTGTTCTTTCAAATTTCCTCTCTCTTTTTTTTAAATATATTAAAATTTTATTTCAGAGAGGAAGGGAGAGGGAGAGGGAAATAGAAACATCAATGATGAGAGGGAATCATTGATCAGTTGCCTCCTGCACGCCCCACACTGGGAATCGAGCCCACAACCTGGGCATGTGCCCTGATGGGAAATCGAACTGTGAACTCCTGGTTCACGCTCAAGCACTGAATCACCACCACCACCCCAACCCCCCCACCCCCATCAGGCGATTTCCTCTCTTTTAAGCTATTGTTTCTTGGATGATTTCTTCAGGTGCCTGCCTGATCTGCTTATTTTTTTCTCATCCTTCCATACATGACCCTTCACTGGTGCTTTTGCCCTTCATCGTGTTCATGCTAATCGACAACTGTAGAGGAATCTAATGAAAGTGACCCTTCTCTCACTCTGACCCACAGGAAAAACAAAAACAAAAGCACAAGACTAAGTGCTAAAAATCTCCATGGGTCTGTATTCATTAATTTGGAATTAGTAATAATTTAACCAGAAAAGCATTAATGTTTACCTTTATCCTTTCCCTCCAGAAAAGAGAGATTGCTAAGCAGATACACAGTGAAAACAAGGTCAGATGGGTTAATGATCAAAAGAAACTTGTAAATTAAAATTTTAACCCAATAACAACCTACTGATAGATGGCCATCAGTAGAGTATTCACTAAATAAATGATTGTATGCAATGGAATACTATGTAGCCACTAATGATGATGCCATAAAACAATGTATAATAATATGAGAACAAATTATGGTTTAGTAAATAAAGACCATGAACACAAAATAAAACGACTGTGCTTTTATTTTTATAAGTACACACCCACAGAAAAAAAGATTGGAAGGATATATTAATAACCAGTGGTTATCTCTGGGTGATCTATACCTTTTTGTGTGTTGATCTGGTTTTTTCAAATTTTCTATAGAAAATTTCTACAGATACTTTTGTAATCCAAATTGCCCTTCATCGTGTTCATGCTAATCGACAACTGTAGAGGAATCTAATGAAAGTGACCCTTCTCTCACTCTGACCCACAGGAAAAACAAAAACAAAAGCACAAGACTAAGTGCTAAAAATCTCCATGGGTCTGTATTCATTAATTTGGAATTAGTAATAATTTAACCAGAAAAGCATTAATGTTTACCTTTATCCTTTCCCTCCAGAAAAGAGAGATTGCTAAGCAGATACACAGTGAAAACAAGGTCAGATGGGTTAATGATCAAAAGAAACTTGTAAATTAAAATTTTAACCCAATAACAACCTACTGATAGATGGCCATCAGTAGAGTATTCACTAAATAAATGATTGTATGCAATGGAATACTATGTAGCCACTAATGATGATGCCATAAAACAATGTATAATAATATGAGAACAAATTATGGTTTAGTAAATAAAGACCATGAACACAAAATAAAACGACTGTGCTTTTATTTTTATAAGTACACACCCACAGAAAAAAAAGATTGGAAGGATATATTAATAACCAGTGGTTATCTCTGGGTGAGCTATACCTTTTTGTGTGTTGATCTGGTTTTTTCAAATTTTCTATAGAAAATTTCTACAGATACTTTTGTAATCCAAAGGAGGAAAAAAAATCAATAAAAATGTTAGATGTCATCATTAATAACTGCTATTTTCTTTTTTTTTAATATATTTTTATTGATTTTTTACAGAGAGGAAGGGAGAGGGATAGAGAGTTAGAAACATCGATGAGAGAGAAACATC